CCTCGCCGACGTTCGTAAGAAACAGCTCCCACGCCTCGTCCCTCTCCAAACACTCAAGTTAGTTTCATCTTCTTCTTCACGGCCGTCACTGAAAAATCCTACGTGCCTTACAAACATCTGATCGCAAATCGCCTTCGACATCGTCATCATTACAATTTTGCAATCCGGCACATTTCCATCGCCTGATGCAAAGATGGGAATGATGAGCTTTTTGTTATCGAAAGACTCCGCTAAATCATCCAGCAGCAGAAGGAACCAATGTTGTGTAAGGGTGGAAACCAACAAAATAATTAACAAATTTCACTGTTTGTCTGACAATTTTGTGTTTCATTTAACAACAAACAAATAGTTTGCAGGATTTTCTTTCCATATATGAATGAATATAATCTAATCAGCTGTACATATACAATTTGTTTGATTATCAAATATTCCTTTAAACTTTTCTTTCTTACATGTTGTATCGTATCCCGTCAATTCCTTCCTTCTTTTATAAATCGGGATACCGATAGAGAAGAGTTATAATATCTTTTTTCTAAGTCAGTTAGAGAGAGATTACAGTGAGAGATTGTATTCATTTTTTTCTAAATTAGTTAGGGAGATTAATACGAATTTTATTCTCATTTTTCTTTAATTTTCTCACAAACAAAAGATGGAGACTCCGCTGGGGAATAGCTTCACTGATGAAGAAGTGATGGTGCAATCCGACGTCAACCTCGCTGGAACTATGGTCGAAACTCTTGTTGTGGAGTTTAATCAAGACAAGTACGAGGAGGCACTCTCCTCCGGATCTCTTAGCCCCAAGGCTATGCGCAAGGTCTGCAAAGTCATTAAGGAGACTAATGTTGGCCTTCTTGTTTTGATGATGATTAACAAATAATTTACTTCTAATGTTGTTTATCTAGTATTTGTGTTATTTATTTATTATAGACAAACAACATGTTGGAGGATGGATGGATTGCGCCATAACGATCATATCAAATGGAGATTGGCGGAATAGTAGAGTGAAGCCTTGCTATCAAGTTAAAGATCCAATTACAAGCTTCATCCAAGTTTACCAAGTTGAGCTACAATGAAGATCAAGATCAAACTTGGGTAACATTAGTTTAAGTTTATATTATGTGTGTTGGTACTTTAAGCTCAATCATATATACACACACATTATATTGGGTTACATGTATATATAGTTTCATATATACATATATGTTTGGTTTCTATGTATATATATAGTTATATATATACATACATAGTTTTGAGTTTTCATGTTTATAAATATGAGATTACATATTTCATATTTATTATTATGTTTTGGTTTAACTATATAGATATGAAACAAATATACATTAATATATATCCTCATATGTTTCATAATATATTATGTTTAAATATATATTGCATAGAATATGCAATTTGGTGATAATATTGATTTCTTAGTATATGGACTTAACAATAATGATATACGTCTTCTATTAAGTCTATATAATGATTTTGTATTGTTTCAAAACATAGTTTCGTCAAAATATCAAAACATGTATGTTTAGTTTTTATGTTTTTGGACTATTTTGCAAAATAATAATATTTTATAAATATGAAGTGCAATTCTAAAAATTCTTTTTGTAGCATGTTCATTTACATGTTTATAAATATTTTCCAAAGTTTCATAATTTTTGGAATTTATTTGCTATTTTTAAAGGCGCTTCAAAGTTGAGTTTTTCTGTGCACTTCAGGTCTGTGCATGTTCAGTCGACTCATGAGTCGACTCATAAGTCGACTCACGAAGTATAGCACAGTTGTGATTTTTCTTCTACTGAGTCGACTCATATAAGACGACTCATTAGTTGACTCATAAGTCGACTTATCAGAAAGCCGTTGCACAGTAATGGCTAGTTTTCTGATTTGTTTGTTTATGGGTTTTTGGTCTTTTCCTTAGGGTTTTTGCTAAAGTTTTGAGTAGTTTTCTGATTTGTTTGTTTATGGGTTTTTGGTCTTTTCCTTAGGGTTTTTGCTAAAGTTTTGAGTGGGTATAAATACCCCATTGCCTTCAGCTTTTTTTGGTCTTTTCCTTAGGGTTTTTGCTAAAGTTTTGAGTGGGTATAAATACCCCATTGCCTTCAGCTTTTCATCCAACCAAGAGAATATTTTAACAAAGTTTTAACAAGGGTTTAAGTTTTTTTAGTGTTTGTTTAAAAAGCTTTTAAGCGTTTAAGAGTTTTGTTTGTGAAGAGAATTTCACAAGAGCAAGTGGAGATCATCCTTGGTGTTTGAGCATTCACTCTTCTCCCTCTCTCTTGTTATCTATAGAGAAGTTTCCCTAAACTCAATCTAGCTTTACATTTATATTGTTTAATTATCATTTTATTAAGCTAGTGTTTATATTGAGTTTAGTTGATTTTGTTTACTCTTTGTTTACACACACAACCATTGAGCTTATTGTATTTGCATACATTGTATAATCTGGGTTGTGAGGTTTGTGTGACATTGAGTGTGAGCCTACATTGTGTTCTCATCTATTGTAGAGAGCAAATTTATATTTGTGTGCTTATCGTGAGATCACTTGTAATACACTTGTACACCAAGAGGAGTGTGTGGTGAGGACGGAGTCGATCCGAGAGGAGTGGCGTCGGTGGCCTAGTGAGAGGTGATACTTCCGACCACTTGAGGGAGTCGATACGTGAGGACCAACACTTGAGGTTGTAGCTTGTGTATATACATTGTGAGATTTTATGAGAGTTGTCGGTTGACTTGATAACCGAGTGTGTAGAGAATTTCCGGCTTCCAAACCGGGTGTGTCGTGATAGTGGATATCTCCTCGAGGTGAGGAGCGGAGACGTAGGTCGTGGGGACCGAATCTCGTGAACATATCGTTTGTTTGTGATTGCATTAGCACACTTAATTTGTGTTCATCTTATATCGCATATTACATCTTGTTTATTTCTTCCACTATACTACTTGCCCTTGTTAGTTTACTTATCCTTGCATATATATCTTATTACATATCATATTTGCTAGGATATTTGTTAGTAAGTTGCATATATATCTTATTACATATCATATTTGCTAGGATATTTGTTAGTAAGTTTTAATTGGTATTAAATCGGATTAGATTAGCATAAATAACCCCTATTCACCCCCCCCCCCCTCTATGGTTCTTTCATAGCGACCTTAGGGTCTAACAACTAAAGCTCTAATTGCAGTAGAATCACCAAAGGAAGGCCTTTCCTTTAGCATAGATTGCTCAGACAGCTTGTCCTCTGGAGGAGTAGGCTCAGCTTTAGCCAAACTCGTTAGTCGAGTTGAAGATTCTATACCCGTGCCACCAAAACAATGGGTATCAGGTCAGAAAAGGCCCATTACGGCGGCAAACCTGATCAGTACAGATGGTGATGCTGCTTCAAAAGCCTTAAGACAGGCTAAGAAGAACGTCGCTCGATGAAGGAAAAGATCCATATGACGAGCACAACTCCGAAAAAGTCGATCTTTCAATCAACGCGAGCTTCAAGTTTATGAGCTAAAACACCAC